TCAACTATTCTCATTGATTTTCAATTGAATAGTTGATATATTTCCCAATAGATTGTGCAAGCCATCCGCAACTTTCAGTTGCACGATAAAGAGATGCCTTTTTAATAATTTATGCACCTTATCCCAGTACAATATCTCATTTGTACTATTTTTTCACTGATATTAAAGATTATTGTTTAAATATTTTACCTTTACCAATAAAATTAAACTTGTGGAGCTTATAAATGTGTTTTATTTTTCTGACCTGCACCTTATCATTGGTTTACAATGTCTTTTATTTCCAGTCAATCTCCGATGTCCTAAAGAAAGAGCGAGACTTCCTACTGAAGAGATACCATCGTCTTGCCAACACCAATGGTACGCCGTACTTGGCCCAGAGACTCACCAAGGTAAGGCTTTATAATCCTTCTCAGAATAGCTTGCATGACAATTCTGCCCCGCACAGCTACTCTGCCAACAAATCAAAACCTGCTTACCCGGCCTCAAGTCAGAAATCGCTGTGAAGACTGCCAAGTACAAACATCTACTGGAATCCTTCGGGCCAATAGTGGAGAGAAAGGTAATGTCCAGTGTCCCATCAATATTTTAATTCAATCCCTCGGATTATTTATTTGTCCAGGATAAAATCGTCTTGGACCTAATCACCAAGTATTCCTTGATGTTTGTCGGCACCCTGAACGGCACAGATGACCAGGCAGTTATTGCCTCGGCTTCTCAAGGAGCCCTGGGAGGGGCTGAGATCAGCAACATCTTCTACAATGTGTATGGGGCTGAGATGGACCAGATCAACCCCCTGGAGAACATCACTTCCCTAGACATCCTCACAGCCATCAAGAACACCAATGGGCTGAGACCCACTCTCTTTGTGCCGGAAACTGCCTTCATCCAGCTGGTGTCAAAACAAATCAAGCTTCTGGAGGCCCCCAGCATGAACTGTGTGACCAAGGTCCAGGAAGAGCTGAGTCGCGTGGCCTCCGCTTGTGAGGCAGCCCTGAGGTCCCAGTTGGCGAGGTTCCCCAACCTGCAACGAGCCCTGAGGGAGGAAGTCCGAGATATCCTCAACTCGAGGGTGGAGCCCACCATGAGGTTGGTCTCGGATCTCATTAGCATTCAGCCCGCCTACATCAACACCCGGCATCCTGACTTCCTCCTAAGCTCCAAATTTTTCCAGGTTAATGCCATGCCCCTTCCCTCCCATTTAGAGACATCCTTAGCAAACCTTCCATCTCTTGTAGAAACCACCTAAACTCTGCCTACTTCATACTTTCCTCTTTTCTTTGAGACAACCCAAGTTCTGCTTCCAATGGCTGAAGTTCTCTCTACCCCATCATTCCCTTCTTTCTTAGTGACAACCCCTCCTCCTAGCTTAGAGCTCCGCCTACTGAATAACTTCTTTTTGTGACCATCTAAGCTTCTCTTTATCTCAATTATAGCTCTGCATTCATCTCATCTCTTTTAGTGACAATGTAAGCTCCTCCTCCCTGATATAGCTCCGCCTACTGCATACATCTCATCTATATTAGTGACAATCTAAGCGCCTCCTCCCTGATTGTAACTCCGCCTACTGCATACATCTCATCTCATTTAGTGACAATCTAAGCTCCTCCTCCCTGATTGTAGCTCTTAGTGATATCTATCTAGTTCCACTCCCCAGACTAACTCCTTCCACAGAGTGCTGTAGATACCGGCCTCCCTGACCTAGGAACCTTAGCTCAGATGGATAGGAAAATTTTCCCCAACTTAGAGAGTTTTTTGAAACCAAAGGGAGTGAGTAGATTTCCATGACTCTCATTGTTGTTGTTTGTGTTGGTCCTGACTGACTCTATGGTCTTCCAGCTTACTGAAACTACTCCTTCCAACATTGATAAGCGGGATAACATAGAAGTTGGTCTAATTGGTGAGTGGTTCCCCCTCTTTTTTTTTTTTTTTAAGGATTTTTTTTAGGTTGAATGTATCCTCAGTTTTGCCCAGTTTTTACCTGAGTGAAAGTTTGCCTAAAGAAAATCTGTTAAAGCAATATTTTCAGGAAAAACATCCACCCTCTACTGAAACTATTGTTGCAAGATAAATTGATGTTTGTTCCACAACAAAACTATTGGAAAATATTGCAATGTAGATAGCTGAATATATATAGATTAACATATATTTGGATTAGGTCTTATTACTTTGTATTTCTATTTTATTTTTTTATTGTTACAAAAGCACGAAGTCCAAAGGACTATTGTGCTGTGCTAGTATTATTTACATATCAAATTACAAAACTATTTTAGAGGCGTAATATTCTTTTTAAAATAAAATAATTACTACTGTCCTTACTGCGATGGAAAATTAGTATTACATAGTAATTGTTTTATTTTAAAAAGAATATTACGCCTCTAAAATAGTTTTGTAATTTGATAACAGATGGGGCGCTAGTGCATCGTAACATTATTTACATATATATGATTAATTATTTACACGATGGATTAGTAGTGTTTTGTAAATTATTGTATAAATAGTTCTAAACTTAACAAAGTTCTCATAAGATAGAGTATATACACAAAGAGAATTTGGTAATGTTTCAAAGTATCTACATACAATTTGATTAGTCAGAGGGCAAGTTAAAAGAAGATGCTCTAGTGATTCAACATCTAAGCGGCATTCACATGTTTCTAATCTATAATCCAACTTGTGCCTTATCATTAATTAACATTAAAAGTTTAAAATATTATTGAAACATATAGTCTCTCTCTCACATAGCTTTATATTGCAAGATTTAATTTATTCATCACATGTCTCGGCGTGCGGGTCGTGAGGAAAAGAACTCTTGTATATTTTAGTAAATCTTCTTCTTCTTTCTTATCTCCACTCAATCACACTAAGGTATCAAGCTTGTAAAGCTTGAGACTTTTGATGGTGTCTGCCGGGGAAGAGTAGAGCTCATCAATGGATGAGTCAATACAGTCAATAATAGGTCTTGGGGTTGCAGGCTGAGAATTGCACTTGGTACATAGTGGGAAAACCTTGCAACCATTCTGGAAAGTCATTGTCCGTAGATGACCAGGCTTAAGTCTGGAAATCAAAGACTGTTGTTCTCTTGGTAGGACACAGAACCGGTGCTTGTCCCTCCTGCTCTGTGCCAGTCATGTGCAGCATCAGATATTTGGCTGATTTTGGTAAATGAATGTGAATAGCCTTTCTTTCATATTTTGATCTTTAGATTCATAAATAAAATATTCTATCTTATCGATAAATTTTTCTAATTAATTACCTTACAATCTGGTGGAGATGCTGGGATTTTTTTGATAAGATAGAATATTTTATTTTTGAATCTAAAGATCAAAATTTGAAAGAAAGGCTAATCACATTCATTTACCAAAATATAAAAGAGTTCTTTGCCTTACGACCCGCATGCCGAGGTACACGATGAATAAATTAAATGTTACAATATTGCCACGTAGAAAATTAGGGAAGACCAACTTTGGGATGAGACAGCAATTTATTTCAGGCAAGAACAAACTATGAATGGTGAACAAAAGATAAGCCACAAGGGAAATTTACAGAGTAGCAAAATATAAACATAAAAAATGACCACTCTGTTAATAAAAATAATAAAATTAATAAATTCTTTGTTATAATATTAAGATAAATCTTTAATAAGGCTTTTAGAACTGGTGGCCATTCGCAATCATTATTATAGGAAGGTTACTAATCATAATACACAGCAATTTTATCATCACCTTTTCTGATCCCAAAATAAGCAAGTTAGTCCGATATTTGAATATTTTTGAAAGTTCCAATTCCTCTCATATACAGTTAAACCTGTCTATACCTGTCACCCCTTCTTGGGACTCACCAAAATAGGATGCTATAGAGAGGGGGTGCTATAAACAGGTCACTTTTAATGTAAAATGTTTACATTTTAATGTTTAAAATCGGGCGCTATAGAGAGGAAGGCACTATTTAGAGGGGGTGCTATAGACAGGTTTAACTGTATCTAACTATCACAAACTATGTAAATAGGGTCAATTTGAATAGACTTTGTATAACGACATTTGAAAATATCCCGCATGTGTTTCTTTTGAACGAAAAATCGAAGCCTAGTGGACATGGCATCTGCCCGGTAAGCGGAACACTGTGGGTTCAATTCCCATCCCTTGACACTTTTATTTTTCCGTTTATCATTATTCTTCACAATTCATCCTTTCATACTTCATCCCTAAGGTTAGAAATACACCTATCCCCCGATTTACACGGTAGATACGTTCCTGAGAAAACATGTAAATCGAGGGATAAGTGTATATTAAACTGTCAAATCTGAATAGGTGTTTGCCCCCTCATGAATCAGAGCCTCCCAATATTCTTTTCAACATAGGTAGTATAGAGTAGAATATCACATTTTAGTATAGTGCGATAAAAACAAAACAAAAAACTTATTTGGAAAACCATGTAAAAGCGAAAACGTGTAAAACAAGTACCGTGTAAATCGGGGGATAGGTGTAATTGTTATTTCTCCTTAAAATAAATTTCTATTTTTCGTTCAAAAGAAACACATGCGGGATATTTTCAAATGTCGTTCTACAATCATAGGCCGCATTATATTGTATAAAAAAAAAAAGAGACTTTGTATAGCTTATATTTTAAACTGCATTTTCATCTACAACACCTATCTGGCTTTTCTAATGTTCCACTTGAGTGAATGTTTTGATGAAAGTATTTCTACCTATTAAAAAGAGAGTATGTTGTCCTCCATGTTCTGCTCGGGTGAATGTTTCCTGAAATAATTTTTGTTTCTGCCCTTCAAAAATGATGTAGCAATATTATAATAATAATTTTCTGACTAAACAAAAAGTAAATTATAAACAATACTTAAAGTTACACCGCATAAGTTTCCTTTTTTTTTTTTTTTGTGAAAAATCAATATTTATTTCAAAGAGAAATATTTAATATTTCTAACTTTTTTGGATGAAGTATGAGAGGGTGAAAATATGAAGAGTAAAGGGCGAATGGAAAAATAAAAGTGTCCAGGGTCGGGAATCGAACCCACAACCTTCTGCTTACCGGGCAGGTGCCATGTCCACTAGGCTACCCTGGACGTATTCCTCCATTCGTAAATAATATTTAAAGTAACTTAAATTACATTATAAAGGACTGCGGCGAGTGATTATAAACAATACTTAAAGTTACACCGCATAAGTTTAAGCAGAAGGTTGTGGGTTCGATTCCCGCCCCTGGACACTTTTATTTTTCCATTCGCCATTACTCTTCATATTTTCACCCTCTCATACTTCATTCAAAAAAGTTAGAAATATTAAATATTTCTCTTTGAAATAAATATTGATTTTTCACAAAAAAAAAGAAAGAAACTTATGCGGTGTAACTTTAAGTATTGTTTATAATCACTCGCCGCAGTCCTTAAAAAGTAAATTAGTTGAATTACTTTGTTAATCTGAATTTTCCTTGAATGAACATGTGACAAAGACTTTCCTAACTTAACTTTATATACTGTTAAAATTCCAGCCAGATTGATTTAAATATTGAGGAAAAAGATGTAAAATATGTAAATATATATATATAAATAGATAAATATACATATCTTGACTTTAATATATTTAGTATAAACTTTAATAAGTTTGACTGTGTATTTAGTTTGTAGAAATCTGCAACTCTGTTGTTGTTGTTTCTTATCCCTTTGTGTAAAGAAACCTGCAACTCTGTGTATGGCTGTATTGTAAAACTTGAGGAGATATGTAAAATAGGCTATTTAAAAATGAGCTAAACTGAAGAATGCCAGTGATGTATAAAATAGAAACAAAGGCCTTCTCAAATGTTAAAAACAAGGAAATAAACAGCAGTCATAACCTGCAACTCTGTGTATGGCTGCTGTCCTATTGTTTATTTCCTTGTTTTAAACTTTTGAGAAGGCATCTGTTTCTATTTTCTACATCACTGGTATTCTTTAGCTCATTTGTTAAAAAGCCTATTTTTGCATATCTCCTTAAGTTTTACAATCCTATTTTGACTAGATATATACAAATGTGATGTATCTCTCATTTATAAAGATTAAAGTTCATTGTAGAAGAACCACCGTAAGGTTAGAATGCTCAGGATTTATCTTGCTATCATAAAAGTAACTTTTCTCCGTTGTTCTTGCACTTTTTTTTGCTGAAAAAGGTTTCAATTTTGCTGGCACATGATTGGCTGTCCAGTGATAATGTTATTTGAATCCTATGTTGACCAACAAAATGCAATACTATTTATAGTTCCTATTTTTCCATTTTCAAGTAAAACATTTTCTACTGTCTTTACTGCGCACGTCTGCGCGTCTTTTAATGCGCACTAGATTTTGCATTCCCAATGTTGTGCTAATACTTTAAAATAACATATTGTTTTAATGGGAGAAGTGCTTCTCGCTTCTATCTATGGTATTAATCCAAATTTGCATATTTGGATTATGCAAACTATTTGCAAATATGCAAACTGGATTATGTAATCTAACCGTGAATTTGCACAACAGCGGAGCTGATCAAACTGTACTTCCGCACACTACAACGGACCATCCATGACTGCGTACCCAAGTCCATCATGCTCCACATGGTAAACTACATCAACAACCACCTGCAGGAGGAGCTTACCCTGCGCATACTGAATCCTGCCAAGTTGGATCATCTCCTTGGGGAATCCCCGCAGGTGGCTGAAAAGAGAAGAGAGGCACAGAGCATGCTGTCCTTGTTACATCATACCTCTGAAAATATAGCCTTGATCAAAAATGTCAATTTGTAAATTTTATACATACATGTATTTTTAATTAAAAAGCCATATATTGGATCAAAATATAATTTATTTTGCCAATATTTCACTTGGCTGAATGCCAATATATGCCTTTTTAATTAAAGATCTATTGCTCTATTTTCATATATATATATGATCACAATATTGTGAATGTTTTTTTTCAATATTATTCAATAAATTGTTGATTTTTTACTCACTGTTTACTTTTTTTTCTCTCTCTCTCTTTATGTTTTATTATTATTTCTCTACTTTATATTTAAAAATACATTTCTTTTGGCCAGGTGGAAGAGGCTTCTTTTTTTTAGTCTTAGATCGGATTCCTAATTAAGTATGTAATTGGAAGTTCTGTTTCCATAACTCATGGTCTTGTATTTTGGCAGATTGTAGCTTCTTTTGGAATAATTTAAATCAACAATGAGTTGAAATTTATTCCAACAGGTGGCTTAAGCCATCAAAAACTTCTTGTTACTT